ATAGTCTAAACTAATTGTGGTGTCCTGAACCTGGGAACATGGGAGTACATTCTAAAATCAGTCACCAGCAGAAACTTTCGCACAAGGGGAGGGAGAATGGGCAGGTCAGCTAGCAGTTAACTTTCTGAAATGGGAGGGAGGAACTGGCAAGTCACTTACCAGCTAACGAAAATGGAGTTTATTTTGCTAGTCTGCCTCACTTTCTCTATGAATGTCACACAGCTCCTCGCATCTTCTGTCATAAGTGTTCAATGCAGCAAATCTGTGCCTGAGATGTTCTTGAAATTCACATGGGATAAAGTCAAGGTCATATTTTAACTCTCATGAACTTCTTTCAATTTTCTTCACCCTCAATCTGAATTTACATATGATCAATTGATAATCTGGTCCACAATCAACCCCTGGCCTGATTTATTGACTAATATTGTGCTCCTCCCTGGTATTTTCCCATGCAGGCAGTCAATTTTATTTTTTTCTAATGCATTCCATATGAAGAAGTCTTTGTGTTTAGTCATAGTTTCTGTTGTTGTAAAAGGTATATCTGCTATGAGTAAATTTTTGGTCTTGCGCAATTCTATCTTGTTATCTCCAACTTCGTTTCTAACACCAAGACCATGTTTTCCAACTACTTCTCCACCCTCATTATTTCCAACTTTTGTATTCCAATTGCCAATAATTGTCAATGCATCCTTGATAGCATTTTTTTTCTTTTTCAAATTAAGATTTTGCTAGGATTGTCCAATTTCTTCAGCACTAGTTTTTGTAGTTGGTGTATAAATTTGAATAATAGTTGTAATGATTGAATTATCTTGAAGGAAGTTAGATATAATTTTATCACAAACAGTATTGTACTTCAATTTAAATACAGCACCATTCCTTTTGATTGTATTATTATCATCATAGTAAATACTATGATTTTCTGATTCAAAATGGCCAATACCAGTCTGTTTCAGCTCACTAACACCTAAGAATCGATCTTTAGGCATTCCATTTTATTTTTGACAACTTCCAATTTTCCTAGATTTATAATCCATACATCCCATGTTCTGATGATTAGATTTTTGAAGCTCTTCCTTCTCACCTTGAGTTGTGCCCATCATCAAAAGAAGACCCAATGGCTTCACTGCCAGGCTTTACATATTCATGTCACCATATTGACTCTACTTTGAGAAAGCATCTCCTTCTCCTTCCAGTACCTTCCAAACTGAGGGGCCCATCCTCCGGCACTCTCTCTGACAATGTCCTGCTTCCGTTCAGTAGGCCTCAGTATTGGACCATATTTTAAAGCTATTCACAAGGTTTTCAGCAGTTATTTTCTCCAAAGATGGAGTAAACCGTTCTCTACCCCCTCTGCTGAACAACAGCAATGACACACTTTTGAGCAGGGAGGGGTGAGAGAGATGAAATAATTTTGATCCTGACTTCTGAAAAGCTTCTTTAAAAAAAAACAACATTTAAAAAAATTATTTTATTGGGGGTTCGTACAATTCCCATCACAGTCCATACATATATCCATTGTGTCATGCACATATGTACATTTGTTGCCCTCATCAATCTCAAAACACCTGCCTTCCACTTTAGCCCTTAATATCATTTGCTCATTTTCCCCCTCCCTCCCTACTCCCCACACCCCCATGAACCCTTCATAATTCATAAATTAGTATGGTTTTGTCATAAGTTACACTGTCTGACATCTCCCTCCACCCTCTTCTCTGCTGCCCATCCCCCAGGGAGGAGGTTCATACCTAGATTCTTGTAATTGGTTACCCTTCCACTCCACATTCCCCCCACCCTCCAGGCATCGCCCCTCTCACCACTGGTCCTGAAAGAGTCATCTGTCCTGGATTCCCTGTATTTCAAGTTGCCATCTGTACCAATGTACATCCTCTTGTCTAGCCAGATTTGCAGGGCAGAATTGGGACCATGATATTGGAGGGGAGGACGCATTTAAGAACTAGAGGAAAGTTATATGGTTCATCGTTGCTACCCTGCACCCTGATTAGCTCGTCTCCTCCCCACATCCCCTCAGCAGGGGGGTGTTCAGTTGCCTACCGATGGACTCTGAGTCTCCACACTGCACTCACCCACCTTTACAATGACATGATTTCTTGTTCCTTGATGCCTGACACCCAATCCCTTCAACAGCTCATGGTCACACATGCTGTTGTGTGTGTGTTTCTTCCATGTGAACTTTGTTACTTTTGAGCTAGTTGGCCACTTGTTTATCTTCAAGCCTTTAAGACCCCAGACACCACATCTCTTGATAGCCAGGCACCATCAGCCTTCTTCACCACCTTTACTTATGCACACCTTTGTCTTCAGTGATCGTATCAGGAAGGTGGGCACCCACTGATCTGATTTTTAGTTCTTTGATGTCTGATAACTGGTCCCTTCTGCACCTCGTGGTCAGACAGGCTGGTGTGCTTCTTCCATGTGGGCTTTGATGCTTCTCAGCTGGATGGCCACTTGTTTATCTTCAAGCCTTTTAGGGGGCTCTTACAGCTCTTATAACAACCCATACATCAATTGTATCAAGCCATTTGTACATATGTTCCCATCATCACTTACAAAACATTTTCTACTTGAGCCTTTGATATAAGCTCCTCTTTTTACCCCCTCCTCCCCCACCTTCCCACCTCGTGTGTCCTTGATCAATTATATATTCTTATTATTTCATAAAGCTTTTTTATGAAGCAAATTTTATTTATTTTATTTCCTGTAAAATACTCCATTTCCCACCACCTCCCACACCTTCCTATTTCTTCCGGTCCTTTTTCTCCACCCTATCCCTGCCCTCCCTGTAGTCACCAAAGTCTCGTCTTTTGGTGTATAAACGACGTTTCTTCTTTGTTTATGCGTATAGCAATGGTGGTATTAATTACTTCTCTTTGTAAGATTGACTGAATTTGACAAATAAACATGTTCTCTAGTTTTGTCCCTGTCTCGCAGTGTTTAAGAGAGTTATTATAGTTTTTATTCGTGTGTAAAATTCCATAATATGAATGTAACAGAGCTTGTTTATCTATTCTCTATAGCTATGAATGTGTAAGAACTTGAATGTATCAGAGCTTGTTTATCCATTCTTCTATAGCTATTGTGGAAATTGCTGCAATAAACATAGGTGTAAGTCTGTTTCTGTTTTGTTCTTAATTACTTTAGTATATATGCCCCAGTAGAGAAATTGCTGGATCATAAGATACTTGGATTTGAATTTGTTTACAGAAGTGCCATACTGATTTCCATAATGGTTGTACAATTATACAGTCCCACCAACAAATTTGAAAGTACTCCTATCTCTCCACATCTTCTCCAGCATTTGTTATCTCCTGTTTTATTGAATTTTGCCAAAATGTCTCTGTAAACTGATAATCTCATTTTTGGGGGAATTGTATTTCCCTTATTATTAATTATCACAAACATTTCTTCTTCTGTGATTGTTGGTCATCTGTATGCCATCTTTGGTAAGTTGAGTGTTCATGTCTTGTGTCCATTTCTTGGTTGGATTATTTGTATTTTTCTTGTTATGATGTTTTAGTTTTCTATAGATTTTGGAGATTGGTCTGAATATGCACTGATATCCATAAATCATTTATTAAGTACTCTATTTGGTGTTAGGAATACAGTTAGGCCTTTTTGAAATAACATTTTCAAAAGTGATTTCTGTTACTATTTTTTGCCCACTGAGAATCTTTTCTTCAGTGGTTGGCTTAGGACATTATGACTACACTCTTACTAAAATGTATCCTTAACACTGAATACAGAGTCTAACCAACAGTTAATGAACATCAGTGCATATTTGTTCAGTAATATAACACAATTATTTTTAATGATGAAGGATAATTTTAGCATATAGTGTTTATGTTAAAATGTAAGACATAAAATACTACTTGTGACTTTACATGGTGAAATGGTAAAATCATATACAATTGCATTTGGATTTAAAGCACAGGTTAATGATTACTAAGTGTACATAAACAATCCTGCTGTAAATTCCCTATATTGACAGCCACAAAAAGTAGTGAAAATTAGAGGGTAAGTAAAATTAACAAAGTGCTATGGAATAACTTTGCCAGGAATTCCTCTTTTTTCCTCCTTGGATGCTTTTTTTTTAATCAATTTATTGGGGCTCATACAATTCATCACAATACATAGATCAATTGTGTAAAGCACATCTATACATTTGTTGCCCTCATTATTCCCAAAATTCGCTTTCCTCTTGGGTTCCCGGAATCAGCTCATTTTCCTTTTTTCCCTTCCCCCTCCCTTCCTCTCCTTGGATGCTTTATGCTTATCTAATGACATGCTTCTCTCTGGTGGACAGGTTTATATTTTTCATTCAATGTGCTTATGACTGTGCAGAGGCTATAAGATTTTTTTTTGTGCTTTTGAAGTGTCCTCTACATAAAGATATCTTGGTAATCTACTTTGTTGTTTCTCAATTTATGAGTAAAAATAAATAATTCAGGCTAATTTAAGGAAAAACATAATTTTTGGAAAGTTAAGAATGTAGAAAGATGGATCCACAGTTACTGTTTTACGTTGATTCATTCCACAGTATGACTGAATAACTGTGGGTGCCAGGAACTGCTCAAGGACGTAAACGTAAGGACCCAAGAATGACAGAAAATTCTAAACACAACTGTAATAGAATCATACTTGGGCACATGAGCACTGAACTGCTAAAACAAAGATACAGAGAATATCTTCAAAGTGCCTACACAATCACATGCACAAAGAATCCCTTTTAAATATATTATTTGGAGTTAACATATATATCTTATCATTCCATAGTTCAATCACATGAAGCAGTATTGTACAATTGCTACCACAATCTGTTTCAAACATTCTTTTCCTTCCTGGACTCCTTGACATTGTCTCGCTTTCACCCCAACACCATCACCACCACCACTGTACCCCCAACACCACCCTGAAACCCTTATTATACTTGCTGTCCCTAGAGGTTCATCAATCCTGCATTTCATATACCGAAAAACACATACCTCAACTTCAAGAGGGTGACCCCAGTGTCAAAACCCATCTGAGATAAACCCTAAAATGAACAAACAAAAAATAAGACAAAACAAAAATACAGATAATGTTTAAAGTCAGAACAGGTCCAGCATGCATCAGAGGGGGGGTCAACTGACAGAGTTTTAACTATTCAAGTCAGTTTTATCCCTTTGATCTTCTATACTCATATCTTTAAAAAGATAGATAAATCCCTCAGAGTCAACAATGAGAGTAGAGATACCAGGAGGATTAGAGGAGGGTGGGGGGAGAAAGGGGAATCCATCACAAGGATCAACATCCTAGGGGGACAAATAACATAAAAGGGGGTGAGGGGTGATGGAGGAAAATGAAATATAATTATGAAAATAATAATCTAGAACTTATCAAGGGATAATCTAGAACTTATCAAGGGATTGTGAGGGTAGGTGGGCTGGGGAGGGAGGGAGAAGAAATGGGGAACTGATATCAGGGGCTCAAGTGGGAAAAGAATGCTTTGAAAATGATGGCAGCATATGTGCAAATGTGCTTGACACACTGGATGAATGTATGGATTGTGATAAGAGATGGAAGAGCCCCCAATAAAAGTACAGAAAAGCAAAAAAGTACATAATAGAGGTAATGAAACACAAAGAGAGATTAGCTAACCTGCCTGTTGAAGGTCTAGGATGGTATCAGAGGAGAAAGCACTTGAAGTGACACCTGAAGATCAGAGTGTGATAGGCAGACCTTCAAAGAGTACGTTAGGCAATAAAATCTTATGAAGGAAAAAAAAGAAAATAGTGAGGTTTCTTTACAGTATGGTTTTACCTCAATAATTACAGCAGGAATTGAGAAACTGCAATGTGTTATTTGTTGTGAAGTTCTATCAGCTGAATCTATGAAGCTGAACAAATTAAAACACCATTTTGATAGCAAGCATCTGCACTTTGCCAGCAAGGATACCAACTATTTTAGAAGTAAAGCCGGCGGGCTCAAGAAAGCCAGACTTGACACTGGTGGCCAGTACCCCAAACGAAATGTAGCAGCTGTTGAAGCTTCATCTTTGGTGGAACTCAGAATCGCCAGAGCTATGAAACCTCACACCATTACTCAGGATTTACTGTTGCCAGCAGCCAAAGACATTGTTCGAGTTATGAATGGGGACGAATTTGTTATGAAATTGAGTGCAATTTCCCTATTCCTATCTGCAGAAGAATAGATGACGTGTCTGCTTATATTCTTTATTTATTTGTTTATTTTTAATGGTTTTATTAGGGGCTCATACAACTCGTATCACAACCCATACATACATCAATTGTGTAAAGCATATTTGTACATTCATTGCCCTCATCATTCTCAAAACATTTGCTCTCCACTTAAGCCCTTGGCATCAGGTCCTCTTTTTTTC